AGCAGATGTGAATGTTGTAATCTTTTGCCCTGATACAGAAAGGAGTCACTTTCCATTTCATTTGCTTTTGGCTCTGGGCTGGAATTTTACCCCCTTTAACTGTCAAAAAGAAAATCAAAGTGCGAGAAAAATATCAATACTGCTCCTACATCTGTCACCACTTTTTTTGTGTTCAGACATTTTTCTAAAACAGACAGATTGTCTCTTACCACAACTTGTGCTGCGTAGATGCAAATGGCACAACCCCATATAGTCCTACTTAGCATGTGGGTGGAAGCCACTTTATAGTGGCCACAGAACAATACAAGCAGAGTTCAAACATGGTTCAGAAACTGTTTGGAGATTTGGCACAATCACCAAACCTCAATGAAATCACTGTAACATTGCACCTGTCTTAATATGTTTGCTTAATTGATTTCATTCCTTGATTGCTACTGGAATAGCAAAGGAAAATGTCAAACAAGCCTTAAGCTCCAAATGTTACTTCCAAAAATTCTGGTACAGTAAACCTCACATAAGGCTTATCAGTTGGGACCATACATTTAATATGACTTATGCAAAGTATGAGTTATGTCAAACTTGCATAGAATATAAACTCTCGAGCCGGACTTGGGCAGATATACACCTTAGGTGATTACACGATCAGACTTGTGCAAGTTTTACTGTATTAAAATATTCAGTCAATTCACTTTACAGTATATTCTGTGAAGCTCTTTGAGACGTCTAGAAGACGTAAAGATGCTAAATCAAATGCAAAGATTATTTATTATTATTAGTCTCAAAGCCACTCTTTGCTAATTGTGTTTTTACTCCAGTATAAGATTATTACCATTATAATCAGGCAAATGGCTATCGGAAGTGAATGCTTTACGATTGACGGTGAAATCTATTCCCTCGTAATCTGATTTGAAAAACAAATCTGGTTACACTCAATTTCAGATTCCCGCCCGCTTTACGTTTGTCCTATGTTTGGAACCAGCTGAATATATTTATGCAAATGCTTACTGCTGATGTGGGGTTGTTTCCACTAAATTGTGAATAGATATCCTTCAGTTGGATCGCTGCACTGCTATACCAAGGCAATTATACCACTCGAATTCCAGTTGGCTATGTTAACAAAAGAACTTAATAGTACTGTAATTGTGTACTGTCTTGATAATTACAACCATTATTTATCTAGAACGAGACGTGAATGAATACTTCTAGCTTTCAAATGCTTAGGCTCTATTCCTCTCCTTACAAAAAAGTTCAAGTTTTATGTGTTTTACTTCTGGGCAGTGTGGGTTATGCCTCTAGGTTGTCTAAGTGCAGATAATTCATCTTTCATTTGCAGAACTCCCAGTGTGCTTTATTTGTGTAGCGTATTGTGTCTGGATTCTTTCCAGTGCAAGCAATCAATTTAAATACTTTTTTTTAAAAAAACTTTTTTTTGTTTTTTAAAAGCCGGATTTTGGAAAGACTCAAAATTGATTCATGTGCCACTTGTTTGTATTATGTAGCATAAGAATGGTGTTTTGTTATCAATTGAATGGGAACTTTGTCCTTTGCACAAAGCCCCTCAATTGACTCATACTTTACGAGCCCAAGTGCTTTACATGTTGTAGCATTTATACCATCATAAACAATTTACATTTATATAGCGTCTTTCATGACGAGAGGATGTCGCAACGCTCTGCACGCAACTGGCTGGGTACCCAAGCAGTGAGGGGGGGTGGTAGCTGATGAGACTGGGTTCGGGTGGGTGGGTGGGTGGGGGAAGGAACAGCCTGTGTTTGGATTACAACCTTCATATGCTAATTATCACAGGACATGACATTTATGGTTATATGATAAAAATAATCCTTGCATTTGATATAATGTCGTGTCATGTCTTTGAAATGATTCAAAATGCTTCACAGAATATACTGCAAAGTGAATTGACTGTATATGTTGTGGGTGGAGTATGGTTACGGTTAAATCTCCTGCTCATTCATTGGGTCTACAGTGGAACATCATGGGTGACAGCAACCACAGATGATAAGTGCTCCCTAACTCATGTGCCCCGATCAAAACCACTTCGTATTGAAAATTCAAAACAGGCTGTTTTTCCACTTTTAGCCTACTAAAAACAGAATATGAAACACTACATCTACTCCAGGATTCCTCTTCACATGCACTCCTCTTTCTAAGAGTTGTTTTGACAAGGATAGAGATTTAAATTTGATTTAAACGTCCAAAAGGCAAATCCTAGTACTTCGATGTCAGGTTAAAAAAATTAAATGCACTGCCCTAGATTTTGTAACAACACAAGCCACAGTTACCTGATAACATTTCCATTAGAAAAACATTTTGTTGATTCAGGGACAGTTTTGAAAATCTACTCCATACAAGAACCTCTCTGCAGGAAGTAGACCATGTGATCCAATAGAGAACTAACTTGCAAAGCACATGTCCAAAATATCAATTCTAAGGTGGGCACCTGATTTTAATAGGACTGCATCACTGAGAATTCACACAAATGCAAGGCAAGCTTTATTATAATACTAGTAATAATAATCTTTGCATTTGGTATATCACCTTTCATGCCAGGAGGACTTTTCAAAGATTTAACTGTGGAGTGGCTGCGTGTTTGGAGGTGAATGCAGCTCATTTGCACACAGTAATATCCCACAGACAGCAATGAAGTGAGCGACCAATGTTAATTTGTGGGATTGTTGGCCAGAACACAAGGAGAAACTTTAAGATCTTTAACATTCCACCTGTATAGTCAAACAAGACTTTGGTTTACCGTCTCACATAGCACCTCCGACAATGCGGCACACACCAGCCATGTATTGGAGAGTCAGCCGAGGCTATGTGAGTTCAAGTCCTGTCATGGGTCTGAAGAGTTCTTGTTAAAATCCACCCAATGGAAAAGATGATTAAACCCTTGTAGGAGTTTTACCCTGAAATAAATCATTGAATAGTTTCAGCACAGAGTGCAATCATTGTGATCATGACAGATTTACACCACTTGCTCTTTTTAACAGTCATAAATTTTAGTGAAAACTGTAATAAAGGAGGTTATGTATGATGATACTTAAATAAAGGCCTGCAATGTGGTTCGCTGCTGAATACTGCTGATCACCACTTACACTTTCCTCATTGCAGCATGCCTAGAACTCTTTTGTGCCACTGTCAAATATATTACTTCCAATTCCTCTAAGCTGTGTTCAGTGTCATTCATATCTGTTAGAGCCACATATCGTGTAATGATTATTTTATTGAGGCAGCAGAAAGAGAATGGTAAGTAAGTGTTAGGAGCAATGTGTGGGGTTGAAAGGCAATACATAATCAGTAGTTGTACTGGACAAGCTTAACACCGTCACTGAAAATGTGCAGATGAGGGGAGAAAAAAGGCCCACAGCTGTTCCCAATGAACTAATCTGAAAGGATGAGCATTTCTTCCACTGCAGAGACTGAGTGGGAAGGTCAGTTGAATCCAGTACAAATAGGTGCCAATGACAATGGGTTCAATGCACCCGTTCCCCTTTCAAAAATATCCAGTATAAATTGGATGTGGCCTAGGTTAGCATTCGACTAACACTGCCCATTCCCTGCCCTACCCATCGGTGGCCAAACTCTGCTTCTATGTTCCTAGCCTCTGGAAACCCCACCCTCTGCCCCGCTGTCTCACCTCCTCCTTATTTGTTTTCAGGTACTGCCTCAAAACCTACCTCTTCAACTGCACTTATGGTCACCTCCCTTTTTTCCTCTGTCCCCTGCTCGGTAATCATCCCAGCCACTGTAAAGTGCTCCCAGATATTATGCTATGTGAAGGGCGTTAGATAGATGCAAGTTGTTGTTGAGTTTTTTTTCTTCCTACATTAATTGCATCGACAAACAGGCAGTAGAAACTTGTTTCCTGCTCTACCTCGTACTGTGAGGACAAAGCTGCTTCACTCTCCGTAGCATAATTTCAGTCTGAGCAGAGAGATAAAATGTAGTCTGGCGCAGCAGATTGCACTGTTAAATAATTGAGATATCTCCAATTTCCACGTACTGCTCTTTTGCATTGAGTTTGATAAAGAACTGCATTTAGTGCTGCACGATCAGTAGGGTCATAGTCAAAGATGTTTCATATTACAGAATTAAGATTTTTTTCTTAAGATATATTATTAATGTGGCCAGCATAATGCCACCATGACATTAAAGTGTAGAGATCAATTGTTGAGCAAGTACGATAGTATTAATGTATAGTAAGGAGCAAAGACTTCCATCTCATTGAGGAATGAGATTTAAACATAAAACTACTGTACAAACTGCACAGAATAAATTATATCATCTATCTGGTTTCATATTCCATATTCACTGACTAAAGACTTAGATTCACTAACATCGAGACTTGTATTGCATCTCAGAGCCAAACTGGGTAAGTTGTGTACCTCTTAATATCTGAGGAAGTACAAGCTGTGCTGATAATGGAGTCTGTTCATTTGAGTAGCATCTCAGACAAGTAAAACAGGCGTTGAAACAATGCAAGTCTCTTGAACAAATAGCACAGAGCTCCCCTGTGAAACTTTTGTTTGTTTTATATGACGGTTTCTGGATGTGGTAACCTGGCCGTGAAATTGTCATTTCTTTGCAAGTATTTGATTTTACTTAGGCAATCGTACTGATATAAGAACCCATTGATGTGAAAAGGCCATTTGACCCATCAAGGGCTCTCCTTCCATAAAACAGCAGAGTAACCGATTTCATGGTACACAATAGATAACATGAGCACAAATACAGCAGTGAAATCTTGGCGTTTGCCATTAAATAATAATTTTACTGTAGATTTTTGTAGGATATTGCTAAATGTATATTTGAAGTTTTTCCTACTGAAATTAATATGATGACGACATTTTCCATTTGAATTTTTTTTAGAAAGCAACCTTTGAGGCTTCAAAATGCAACTGAGATGTTTAACATATCTCATACCAGTGTCATGGTTCCTTCTGGCTCTTGTACCTGTCTGCTACACAGAATGTTTCGATGAAATGGTGGTGCAAACTTCTGCAGGAAGAATAAGAGGAAAAACAATGAGAGTCCTTTCGGGAAAAGTGACTGCTTATCTCGGCATACCATATGCAGAACCACCCATTGGACAACTTCGATTTGCAAAACCAGTGCCTTCCAAACCTTGGACTAATGTGCGGGAGGTGACCAAATATTCAAACACATGTTACCAGAATGTATCCAATTCAGAATCAAAGGCCCTATGGGAAAAAATATGGAGTCCAAACACAGAACTTAGTGAGAATTGTTTGTACCTCAATTTATGGGTTCCGTCACCGAGACCAAAAAAGGCAGCTGTTATGGTGTGGATCCATGGAGGGGCATTTATGTCAGGTTCCTCGTCCCTGTTAGTGTATAATGGTAGATTTCTATCTCACACTCAGAAAGTTATAGTTGTTTCTATGAACTATAGATTAGGTGTCTTTGGTTTCTTGGCTTTGCCTGGCAATTCTGATGTTCCTGGCAACATGGGATTATTTGATCAACGCTTAGCACTTCAGTGGGTTCACGATAATATAGCAGCATTTGGAGGGAACCCCAAAAGTGTGACATTGTTTGGACAGAGTGCAGGAGCTGCCTCGATAAACATGCACCTTATAGCGTCCCAAAGCAGTTCTCTCTTTCATAGAGTCATCATGCAAAGTGGCAGTTCGAACACTCCCTGGGCTTTTGTAAAAAGTGTGGATGCAAAACACAGAGCTGCAGCTTTCGGTAAAAGAATTGGATGTCCTTATAGCAGCGATGCTGAGTTTTTGAGCTGTCTTCGTGGTAAATCTGCCTATGATGTATTGTGCTATAGTTTGGCAGACCCACAAAGTAACCTTTTGTCTCAGGTTATATTTCTACCTGTGGCTACTGGAGACTTTTTTACTGAGAAAGCTGAAATGTTAATGCAACAGAAAATCGTGGAGAAAAAACAAATCCTACAAGGCACAAACAGAGATGAAGCAACATATTTTTTGGCTATGGGCGGTCCGGGTTTTAGTAAAGATACAGAAAGTGTCATTGGTCGGAAAGATTTCGTAAAAGCTGTGAAATGGATCTTACCTGAAAACACTGTTCTGACTGTGGATGATATTGAATGCGAATACATAGACGAGAAAGATGAGGACAGTACAATCAATTACCGTGACGCTGTAGCCAGTATGGCTGCAGATAGCCTTTTTGTATGCCCAATGAAGCAGTTTGCAAACAAGTATGCCGGACAAGGGAATAAAGTCTACTCCTATTTGTTTAACCACCTTCCACCAGCTGGAGCTTGGCAAAAGTGGATGGGCGTTATGCATGGTTATGAGATTGTATTTGTGTTTGGAATGCCATTTAACAAATTTGGAAAGTGGACCCAAGCAGAGGAAGTACTCAGCAAGAACATGATGAACTACTGGTCAACCTTTGCAAGAACTGGGTAAGCTATCGATTAGCACAAACTTAACACACACTGCTTTGCAGAACCACATATCTGTCGAAAAATCTCCTTTCCTTGGAGTCCATCAGAGACACAGAAAAATACCAACCTTTAGTTTTACTGTAATATGGAAAGTTAAATTCCTAACATTCAGCACAAAATGTAATTCTTTTCAGTGATTGGAGCATGAAAAAAAAACTTGTCTCATTTTCTTCCTTTTGTTACGTCATTAACCTGTATTTTTATTATTACTACTATTTTTAGGCGATGTGACAAAGAAATTTCGATTTAAGAGTTTCACATACCACAATTTTGTCTGTCAGTTTTTCTGTTATTCTATTGATTTCTATCTTATTATTATGGTGTTATTTTTAATCTTTCAATCCATCTTTTTTTTTTCTTTTCCACCTAACATTTTCACATAGATTTTTTTTGATGGGGCTAAAACCTTTCAACCGTCGGACGACTTCTCAACCAATTTAGTTGAGTGCTCAATCCTCAGGAGGTTGCAGAAATCCAGAAATCTTATTTGCAGGTCACTGAAGAGACGTGGGCCAGATAGGAGCAGTCATATTTGCTTCCAGGATTCTAGCACTGTAATATATTTGCCATAGGAATAAGGTAGATTTAGACTTCAATCAAAGGTTTTGTGTGAAAAGGTGGGGATTTATTTTTCCTAGGCAATAGCAATGTCAATTATTTACATACTCCCTTCTGCCTACAAAGTCAAACACTGATTTCATTACATTGATGGTTTCAGACCTGAGTATATTATACAAGTAGACATGCATGAGATGGGCTTACTGTTACATCAGCTTTTATTTTAAAAGTGTCAGTTTCCAAATGTGTGTGTATATGTGTGTGTGTATGCACGCGCGCACAGAGAATACATAGAGGAGGAACAAAACAAGATTTCTTACTCTGGTACAGTCTTTCTCCAATGAACTCTGTTTATTCTCCATATTCCCATATCCCACCCTACTTCCAGAAGAATACTTGCTCCCAGTAACCGTCAGTCCTTCTGATGCTACTGAGGATTTGTGTGGTGTGGGTCTGTCATCGGCAGGGCCCGAGGGTAGTACAGACACAACTGGCTCAGAGACCAGCACAGCAGGTTGACTAAATTGTAACATCCCTTTTTTAAGTATGTCACCTTGGACGACCTCCCACCAAGAATAGGCAAGATTATGACATTTACACTGAAATATAGAAAGATAGCAAAGGTGCTTCTGTGCCTTAACATTAACAAATCAAAGTGAACATATTTTCAAAAGCAGTTTTTATGGGTAAATGAATAGTAAAAATAATAAATAATGTCTGCCTCTTTAAATCGTAGACTCATATTGTAACTCATATGGTTTTACTTTGCTGCACTTATCCTTTCAAAGAACCAGCACAGTCACGATTGGCCAAATAGCCTCCTTCTGTGCTGTATAATTCTACGATAACAAGCTAGTCAGCCACCTTAAAATACTTAGTAGTGGAAGCTCCCAGTTGTCAACTTACTCCTATGGGCACCAAGCTGTTGAGAAAGTATACAAGGCAGTCTTTTGCATCAGATTAAGTTCCAAATCATTTGGACTACTGTTGACACAGAAATAAATACACCTTGCAAATGCATCTCTGAGGTCTAGTGATATGTAACATGGAGATGATCTAGACATGATAGCTCCCGTGCCACCTTCTGTACTAACTCCCTATATCTGTCTTTTTGAAAGCTAATGACATAGTGGCACTCAATAAACACCCTGGGTAGAGAGCGTCAAGCTACTGATGTTAAGTCTAACTTTCCCTTAGAGAAATGTGAAGGCATGATTCTGATAGTTGTTCCCTTTTATTACTCCCTTTCTTCTTCTGCTGCTACAACATGCATCTCCAACAATACAGCCAGCGTTCATTGCTGCCTATGGATTCTTTAGATCTTAACTGGAAACAAAACCATTTCATATCATTGAAATCAGCAAAAATGTAGATTGTGTGTATAATAGTAGTTTTCTTCTGTGTAAACAAAGGTCTAAGCCCAGTTTCACTCCACACAACTAATGTTCCATATTATTTGATTTACAGATAGATTCCCATTGTGGCTGAAGGAGAATCCACATATTTTGTTTATGAATATTCATATAGTATGTATAAAATTGAAAAGAAATTTGATTTATTGTTTTTATGCTTTTTCCATAGTAATCCAATTGGCCAAGAAGTCACAACAGTTAAGTGGCCTGTATACACACAATTAAAACAACAATATATAATCTTAAATGCCAAAAGACTAGAAGTTAAAAAGAAGTTTCGAAAGCAAACGTGTAACTTCTGGAATCAAGAGATTCCCAAACTCGTCAAGAGGTATGAAAGTACTTAAGAATATAATCCAACATTTATGTTCCTTTTGATGTACAAAGTTATTTTTCCTTGTTAGAAGGGAGTATTGTTGGTTTTACACATTTGTGTTTTCTCTGATCCCCTTATGGGAAATATGGCAAGAGAACTTTCTGCTGTATTAGCTATACATTGTGAGGAACCCACAAACCTATGAACGTAGCCAAAGGATTGAGTAACTACTGAAGCACATACACCGTGCTTTGTCACCGCGAGAGTAAATAGCTGGGTTCACGTGAGTCAGCTCTGAAATACCGCAGACACGATTTCCTATCAGAAACTCTCGTGAATTGGATTGTGAATGGGTGCTCTTTGTCACACAGCAAACCAACATACAAAGGAAAGGGATATTGTCAATATAAATTCAGGAGTGGTCAGTGCATTACAGACCAAACACTGGCCAAATGGAATTTTTAACCATTCAAACCAACCCAGGTTAACAGTAACATTTGACTGTAAATTGCTTAAATTTACCACAAAACGTACAGTCAATTCACTATACAGTATATTCTGTGAAGCACTTTTAGATGTCTCAATGACGTGATAAGGTGCCACCAAATACAAGGATTATTATTATGATATTACAGAACTAGGAGAGAATGGTGTTACGGTTTAAATTTATTTGTGCAGTGGAGAATACAGCTTAAATGAACTAATTGAAGAATGTAACTTTTGTTTTCAGCCGAAATTAATGAAACAGAAGAACAGTGGAAAGAGGAATTCAGCCAATGGTACTCCCATATCTTAGGATGGAAAGATCAGTTCAATGCATTTAAGAATAAGAAATATGGATGTGCAGGTACTTTAGTCCCTGACTGCAAAATTAAATCATGGACTGTAAAATCATGTAGCCTAGACAAACTGCAAATTAGACAAACAAAAAAATATTGCTTATGAAATTGTTTACGTCTCTTGGCCTAAAGAGATTCAATCTGTGTAAGTGCAACCCGTGTTATATAGCATCTGAACAGCGATTGGTGTATTCATGTTTCTATTGTGCGTTAAGTCCTGGTGCGTATCTATCACCTTCAAGACCTCCCTGCATCTCATTCAATCACTCAGTCTCTTACTACTTTGCTGTCCTCGCCTTTTTCCTCTGGGTCTCTGCTCTTTCTCTTACTCTGTCTCAGTCATTCCTTCTCACTCAGGCTCCCCTCACTTGTCAGGCTGAGTCATCTTAGTGGTGTCCCTCCTAATGTGCTTCTTTTTCTCTACCTTCCGCTAACTGCTACTCAAGCACGGTGATGGGTGACCCCGTGTGTCAGGCACCCAGCTGATTAACTGCTTTTCTTTCTTGTCAATAAGGAAAGCCAATATTTTTTTTAAAAAAAGAGTTCAGAGTCACATTTCTGCTTCACTTGAAGTCAAGCCCTAGTCAATTGACACATTGCACACTTCACACAAATGCTGCCATATGGAACTTCGGAGCTGGAGGTTTTTTTTCCCCACACGTTGAAATTTCATTCTCACTGATGTTTGGGAGAATTAAATAGTCATATCCGTAGAATTAAAATAACTGGGAACAACTCTGCGAAGCTTGCGAGGTTTGATTGACGACGAAAGCATCTTATTATGCAAAAGTGAACAGTTTCAGAATTGTAGGTTTTCCTTAACCCTTAAATTCTGCTGACCCTTTGAACGGGATAAGATTCATAAGGGATTGCAGGAAATATCATAAATAGTGTAAGACACATATCAGACCTCATCCCCCTATTAAACTAGACCTACTACTACCTGACACAAACGATAAGACCCAGTGAGATAATAACACAGCATTTTCTTTGAAGAAGTGTGACTTTACAGGGAACATTGAACAGCTATTTTAACTTACATGGAACTGGTATGCTTTCATACTCTATTGCCATGGGGACAAGGTAATAAGGCATCATTTAACACATTCTTCCACAGTTAATTACACTCATTTAGTTTCAGTTTTCTTTTCATGTTGCTTTATTTCAAAGAAATTTAAATCTGCATTTTATTTCGATAACTGCATTCTCTTCCCTTCTTAGCTCACATGTGATCTTTGTCAGTGGTTCGGTAAATTTGGCTACTTATGAAGGAATGCACATTGTATTTAAATAAAGACAATCTGCTTGAATGAATAAAAGGTGAAGCTATGAATCCTGTAGGAAAAATCGTGCAGTGTATTCATAAAAATGACATGACGCCAGCTTAAATCTCAACACGGATGGTCGGTAGCAGTGAAATTATTAATAAATGATTTACTGAAATTCACTCGTTTCATGATCCTCATTAAATAGAAAAAAATTCGCAGCAGAGATAAACATCATGAATCATGGACAAGTGTTAAAGTAGCTTCCCTGATGGCCTACTCTTGAAGGCACTGTTGCATGTAGCGCTAAGCCATAGAGGCCAGTATGGCCTGGGTTCAATTCACAGTCTGTGCTCCGTTGGCTGATCTTAGACAAGACAACAATGGAGAAGGTGACAACCTAAGCAACAGAGAGGGCTACAACCTCAAGCACCCTCAGCCTTAGGAAAAGGAAAATATTCGCTCACTGTTTTTCAGGGGTTCCTGCTTGAAAATGTCTGGGTATAAGTGCATGTGAAAACAGGGTCGGCTGTGATGCCTCCCAAAGGTTGGCTCTCTCACCAGCACTTGTAACCCAGGCTCACGCATGAATAACGGAAACTTGGGGAGCTACTGTAAGGCTGACGGTTCTTATGAAACTGTATCCCATGAAGTTAGTGGCTTTAGGAGCGAAGAGGAGAAAGTTAATACTAAAACGAAGTTGGAGACTTTAAGCTATAATTGGGGGGATATAAGTTACTTTGTTATACTTTGGTTTCCACGTTGAAGATTATTTCTTCATACATTAAAATCTGCTCCTGCCAGAAAACATCCAGCAACAACAAGTGATGAGCTGGACATTTGGTATTTGGTCGTATAGTCTCACCTGTGTTCCTTAATTAGAATCACTTGGATCAGACAAATGTATTATCATTAACTGGTTGCTTAGGTTAAAAGAGGTGATAATTTTCATGCCTTAATTACCTATTTTGTATGCATCAGTTGATTCATTGTATGCAGAGCTATGCAGAGCATTCAATTAAATGAAGTGGTTACAAAAGAACTGAATGGAAAATGAACTGAATGCAGTAGCTTTGCTTCATATGAAATATAAATGCTCTAAGTATGTTTATGAATACAGGCTAAAAGGCTAAGTCTTCTACCATAATGGGATCCGGTTAGATGCAAGAATATCTTTTCAGTCGTGGAATTTAAACGTTAATAACTTGGGGGATCTTGTAAAGCCTGCTTCTCTGCACTCCTGCTCTAATTCTTCTGTTACAGACTATTCTTTCATTTAATTGTGTGTCAGCTTGGCTCAGTGGTAGCAATCTTGCCTCTGAGACAAAAGGTTGTAGGTTCAAATCCCACATTGGTACTTGAATTCACATAGTTTAAACTCCAATGCAGCACTGGGAAATGTGTTGCATTGTCAGAGATGCCGTCCTTCAGATGAGACGTGAAACCGAGGTCCTGTAGTCTCTGTTCACACGGATGTTAAAGATTCCATGGCGCTATTTGAAACGAGAAGGGAGTTTCCTGGCCAATAATCTCTCACACTTTTCATGGCTATTTGTGAGACACTAATGTGTGCAAGTGTGCTGCTGCATTTGACTATAAATATGCAGTCCCTCAATTTCACAATAAATCCTGTGAAGTGCTTTGAGATGTCCTTCCAACGTAATACGGCACTACACCAAATGTAAGGATTATTATTATTTGCAGCAAGACTGATTTCTAGACAAGTTGTTACCTTGAGCTGCTATGATATTCCAGAGTGAGTGAAGGAATTGTGCATTGTTTACTTTAGATGTAATTCATTTTTACATCTCTGAAGTATACTCATGTGCCTTATGTGGGGTGTATTTAGAGAATAGATTAGTATTTTGGAAGATCTACATACAATACATGGAGCAAGCGCTGGTTAGCAAAACAAAAAGAAGATAACAAATAAACATCTACCAAGACCACACTGCTTGGGTTTGCCAACGGTGTCAAATTGTGACATTGAAGACGTTTTGGAATTGGCAGGAAAGGAAAGGAGACCCAACACCATGACCCGTGAACAGTCTGAAGTTCCTTTTGCACCAAACATGTTTTGTTTTGAAGTTAGTTCAGTGTAGATTTGATTCTGAAAGGAAATGCAAGCTCCCATCAACTCAACTTCGACTCATAGAATCGTAAAATCATACAGTGCTGAAGGAGGACATTCGGCCCATCGTGTCTGTGCTGGCTCTTTGAAAAGAGCAATCGAATTCAATCCCGCTCTCTTCCCATAGCCCTGCAAACTTGTCCTCCCCAAATTGAGAAGGACTCGACTCAGTCCTTCTCATGACCTTTCAGCATTATCCCATTATTGTTAGTGCTTTCCATGCATTTGATCAGGAGAATTTGTCTACCACTTGATTTCAAGTTTAAATGTACAAGTCATCTGCTCCACACACACACAAAAACATTTTCAGATTACTGACGTACAACAGTTGTGGTTTTGGCTTGGATGTGGATTAGAAGTTTTACAGGAACTTCCTTCCAGATCATATCTTATTTTCAAATCGTTCTCTCTCTCATGAGACCTCTTTATTTTGCTTTTGCCTTTTCCTCTGTCACCATGTTTTGTTTTCTCTATCTTCTCCTTTGAGAACTTTGATTTTAAGGTTTGCGCACAATTGACACAAACTCTTATCTCTTACGACCAAGACATGTGGCTGCTGTACTACAGCCATAGGGTATCAGCAATGAAAAGCTGACTCTAGCACCAAACCTTGCAAATACTGGAAGAATAGGAAAAAATGTATCTGCAAAAACGGCTGGTGAACAAGCTCAGGATGTAAACCTCTGTAGGACTCAAATGACATACATAAATCACTTGAGCATTACTCATAGAATTTACAGCATCTTCTGAATCCCCTCGAGTCAATTACAGCCTTTAACACACTCCAGGCCATCTGTCATTGAGTATGAATTACATAGAAGAAGCTTTGCAAGTAATGTGAAATGAACTGGTTTTCCTCGTGTCACTTTTTGGCTTTGTGTGCTTTGAATCCAAGTCTACTTTCTGTGACTGAATATGAGAACTTGCCGCATGTATTTCCATTTGAAGCAACAATGATCAGCCATCTGATTCCTACATAAATAAGTGCTGGCACTTCCTTTCATTGTGAAATCAGCAGGTCCTCTTAAAGTTCATTATCTGACTTATTCAGTGTCTGTGTTTCTTTTGATGACCTCTTGAGTTGGGGTTTGTTGATTTATCGCATTTACAAACTAACAATAAGCCCTTGATTGAATTACATGTTGGGGGAAAAGCGGGAGGGAGTTGGAGATTTTTGATTACACAGTAAAATCATCGCTCTGAAGCACTCGAGTGTTTCTGATATAATCTGAATTAAATTGCTTGTTTTGAATGTATAATGGAAACATTGCAATGACATAGGTGCCTCGCGAACCAATTTCAATCTCTGCTTTTTGCCTTTCACTGATGTAAATACAGAGTGTCTTGAGGTCATCTTTATCAGATTTTTTTAAAAAATGTTCAAAATAATGATTACATTTCAAATTCAAGGAACTGGAAACACAAACGTAAATTGTAAGAGCATCACTTCAGTAGCTTTTAACAATATTACAGTAATCCTTACACAGTGGCATTACCATGTATAGAAGTCACTAGAGTAAATCTTCAAAGGTGATGCAAGATGCTTTGATTGTATCTCAGGAGCAAAGATATTTAATTACTAGAATATGGCTGTTTGCCAAGTGTTCCTGAATTCTCTAAGGCTCTCTTCCCCCATCTCTCTCTCTCTCTCTCTGTGTGCAATATTATGAGGTTTTAAAAACCAACCCAAACCTGTTTGCCAAGAAAATGTTATTTGTTTTATTTGCAAGCAGCAGTGACTTGAGCAAGGATCCAGCGGCTGGGAATAATTGTATTTTTTGCAATTTTTGCAAAAATTAAATTATGCAAAGAAATGTTCAAGCTTTTCAAGGGGAACAATGGCATTCAATACCCCGCTGCTATGTTTAGAGATCTAATCATGCCACCTACACACTCCTGCATAGTTTAAAGAGATTTCATAAAAATTTAAACACAATTTGTGTAGGTTAACTAAACCTTTCATGAAGCTTTCTGAAAGGACTTCTTTGCAACCCCCAAAAAAGAGATATCAGTTTGATTGCATTTTTGAATCAAAACAGCTTATTAGCGTAATTGTTTATTTGCAAAATCAATACTGAAATACTCCAAAGAAGGAAACAAACAACAAGAGATGAAATGGGAGGTAATTTTACAACGTGTAAAGCGCCTAATGTGATAAAAGCAATTTCATCTCCGTTTCATGTCACAGCCACTTAGGCTTTCCTGATATCAATGATACTCTCCTCCAGTTTCGTAAAACAATGTTAATCGCAGATTCAAAAGCCTTGCACGATTTACATTCTTTAAAATTCTTGTACTAATCTCCTATGATTGAGAAATGCACCTTACACACACTTGCCTTTCGAGTAGTGTTTATGTCCAACCAATCGCTTTACCATTCATGTCTGACCTCTTCCATTCCACAAGCAATTCTCAATTCACAAAAATCACTGTTGTTCCTTGAAGTATTTGTGCATTTCAGACTAGCTACCCTCCAATACTTGTTCTCAGCACATCCATGTCCAGTTTTAAGAGACGAAAGGGGAGATAGTCGAGATAAGAATGGTAAAACCTACTTTGCAGGTGGGGGAAAAAAAACTGTCCGAAGAAAATAGGAAAAAAACATATTGTGGTCTAAAGCTCATGTATTTGATAGAAATCTTGCAATGGAATTTAACTTGTTTTCCTGCAGAATCTCTGTGGTCTTAATTATAGTTATAAAAATTGTACATTTTATTATTTTACATAGTTGGGTATCTCTGGATTTTTCTTTTATAATACATTTGATATAGAACCTGTCACGTCAGGAAGACACCTGAAAGTGGAGTGCCCAGTGCCTGTGTATTTTGTAGGCAAATATCTTCAGAAAGAAACTACTCAGTTGCATACATGAAGAGAGTACATTCCCTTACCTGCCAGTTTTAGTACTTATATTTGGTACATTCGTTCCAATCTTATGGCCCCATCAAGCATTTCCTGCATAATCACCTTTCATAATATTCTATTCTGCCAC